AGCCAGTAACGGGGCTGGGGACATTTTAAGGTCCTTTTCTGTGTCCTTGTCGGCGTTTTATCAGAGTCGGCTGGAAGGATGCGGGGTACCCAGCTTTGCACGTCTAAAGCCTGTAATCGTTCATCGCTTTGGAGGATTTCCATCAAGTGTCATGAAAAACCCATTTTACTGCTAATTTGGCTTAAACAACTTGGCCATCAGGATGGGAATGCACAGAGCTCCTGGCATCAGTGGCTGAGGGGTGTTTTCCCCTCCAGTGCTGGCTCCTGCGTGGGTGCTGGGGGAGATGTGGGTCCCCAGTGCCTGGGGGGTTGCAGGGCACTGGGGGAAAGTGGGGGTGGCTGCAGCAGGGCTCTCCCTCCCAGACAATGGCGTTTACAGTCTATTGTCTGGGCGATGTGGCGTGTCCTCACCGGCTCCAGGAAGCGCCTGCATCCCGGTGGGGCTGAGCCGGGCTGCTGGGGGGGTCTGGCAGGGCTGGGTGTGCGAGCGATTTGTGCGCCGTCCCTGGAGCGTCGACCACCTCAGCAGTGCCGGTGGCTCGTGGCTTGCCTGCAGCTGGGGCCCTTGGAGAATTTCCCCTCTGGTCCCGGGGCTGTATTTCAGTGTAATATTCAGTGCTGTCCTAATCCCATTAACTCTCCCCTTTGTTTCCCCCACCTGAAATCCTTAATCAGCTGGGACAGGCCACTGTGGTGCAGCTGCATGGCTCTTTCAGCTGAGACTGTTCCTGTGATGATGGCTTCCCTTCAAGGCTGTGGTTTGGTGTGGGAGCACTTGATGGGATTTGGCTTTTTATCGCACTTCCAGATCTCCGAGGTTTAAGAAGGCGCTCCTGCCGCTCGCAGATGGCAGAGCCTTGGGGAGCGGAGCTGCCCTTGGCCCCTGCTTTGCAAGCTGGGGAAGCGGAGGCTCTTTGCAGAGAACTCGCAAGACTTTTAATTGCAGCATCTGTACTGAGCCTTGCGCTAGGCTGGAAGGTTTAAATTAGACTGGCTTGTAATTAACAGAAGTTAAAAAGAATAATTTCTGTTAAAACAGTACAAGCTTACCTTGGACTTCAGCCTTTACCTTGTTTTCAGACGGTGCTTTCCTACCTAGACAGGGTGTGTGGGGCACCCAGCATCACCCAGAGGGCTGGGGCTTGGGTGGTGGCTCTCGGTCCCGTGAGACCGTGGGGTGTCTCAAGTCGGTCTGTGTGGATGGAAGCAGCTGGGATGGCAGCTCGGGAGGACACCAGGGCTGTGCTGGTGCCTGGAATTGCTGCAGTGTCCTCAGCCTCGGGAGGGTTGCTTTTACCCCCCCTTCCCCATGGATGCTGTTTGGTGAAGCAGTGAAGGATGGTGGGGGTGTGAATGTGCAGGTACTCCCTCTCCAAAAAAGCCTTAAAACTTGACCTAAGCAGCTAAACACCATGTCTGTGCCTAAAGTGGGTTGGCTTTGGAGCTGCACCGGTGCCTCGATGGGCAGAGCTCCTCACCCCCTCTGCTTCCCACCTCTGGTGTGGGAATGCCGCGCGGCTTGTCGATGGCTGCGGTGGGAGATGAAAATGTTTCTAATTAGGCAGAGGTTTGAAATACCCTTCTAAATATGCCAGCCCCGATGCGTTTTGCTGTGGCTGCTGACAGGCCTGGAGGCATTTCAACACACCTCGGTTGCTCGGCTCCGAAATCGTTTTGCAAACAGGGCAGGAGCTTCGTGCTGCGGATGCTGGGG